AACAAACATCCAGAAACTGAACTGACAAATGTAAGAATCAAACCAGCCACACCCCTCTCTCTTTTTGTTCAGGAATTCCAATCTAAAGCACCATCAGCTATGAAATGTGGAATAGGAAAGACCATCTGGGTTACACCAGTTACCATTACTAATCCAGCTACAACACTACTTCATCAAGTTATGAAATTTGTCAGGACAGTTCAATAATACTGCTAAAATAAAAGCCAATCGATTTTGACGGAAAGGTACAATGGGAGACATGTCAAGCACAGTTTGAAATACTTTCTAAGGTAAGTGAATGGAGTAGTGAACAACAAGCTATTCGGCTAGCTGCACATTTCAAAGGACCACCTAATAACATTAAACAACCTTAAGCAAGAGAGCTGTAATAGCCAATAGGCACCAGTGGTTGTCTTGAACAGATTTGGAGTGCTACATCAGAAGGAGTTTGTAAAGTAAAGTTTAGAAGCACAATAAGTAAGAAAAATGAAACCTTAGGCAAAGTTGCTAATATGTGGAAAGATTTCCCAATGATCTTATTCAGATGTTTTATGTAAAATGAGTTTTTTGACTCACAACCAATTCTTTGAAGTCATAAAGGATGAGGATGCGCGAGTTAGGCTAAAGCAGAAATTGAATAGACGTGCACTAATCTATTCTGGGGTTGCAGCGTGTCATCGATACCCCCAGTTTGGTTTGTTTTCGTTCTCACACAATGTTTAATTCCATGAAATTTGGTACATACTTTCTAGATTGGTTTGGTTTGGTTTGTTTTGAATTTCGCGCAAAGCTACACGAGGCCTATCTGCGCTAGCCGTCCCTAATTTAGCAGTGTAAGACTAGAGGGAAGGCAGCTAGTCATCACCACCCACCACCAACTCTTTGGAGGATGTTAATGCGGGGAAATTAAGAATGAAAAACTTGACTAAATTTATGCTAAAGTTTTCAAGAAAAAACATTTGAAATTAATGAGTAGAAAATATTTAAAATGAACATGAGTATCGTTTATTGTAAACTCTAAAGCCTTTTCAAAGAAATGTAAAGTTTTTATCGAATAAATATTATCGTTATTATAAATTTAAGTATTAATGTAACAAATGATGTTATTCCCCAGTGGAATAGCGGTAAATCTATGGACTTACAGCGGTAAAAATACGGGGTTCGAGTCTCCGCGGTGGACACATCAGATAGCCCAGTGCTCTAAAACAATACACAAATGTTGTATGTAAGTGTGTATTTTAACATTTCCTTGGATATATATAAAATATGTTATTTTTATAATTTGCTGTTATTTAAAGTTATATATCAACATTGTTCAGTTTTGACTTCCTCTAACCTTAAGGGGCACAACTAGTATTTACCTCGAACGTTTTTTTCAGATTATTAAACTAGTTTCCAAATAAGCTCTCTTCATCTATTTCATATTTAGCTGCCCCCCAGTGGCACAGTGGTATGTCTGCGGACTTACAACACTAGAATCCGGGTTTCGATACCCGTGGTGGGCAGAGCACAGATAGCCCAATGTGTAGCTTTGTGCTTAATTTTAAACAAACAAACAAACATATTTAGCTAAATATATATAAACATCGACTGTTCTGTTCAAACTGAAATACCAAGTGATTTTTTTTAAATAAAAAAACAACGAAATCTATCGTTTTAAATAAATATCACAATTGTATATTTATATAAGTAACTAAAACAAAAAGATCTTGGCAACGGCTTGTACTGGCAATGAACATTAATCCGATAAAAAATATCACTTTAGTTGAGCACGTGGACGTTAGGAACGTCTGAGGGTGAACACTCAAGTTGCTAATTGAATAAACTTATCAAAACATCGCGGTAAATGTTGTCAGCGTGAGCCATTAACTTTCCACTTGCTAAGCAAAATCGTAGGGCTTCAGTTTTTGTTTGCAACCACCAGGGAGGATTAGAGCGATAATGCACGGAATCACCAGTTGCCACCAAAAACATATTGTATAAGTTTTCTTACTATTTTAGGAATATTCGCGTAGTTTATCTGTGTATGTGTTCGCAAGTGAGAGCCGTTTATACGTTTTCAGGGTGGCGGTCAAATCCCTTCATTCGGCCAGAGAAGAGTAGCCGACAAGTTGGCGGTGGGTATTATTGAGCAGCTTCATTACCTGTAATATATCAGTTAAAAATTATGGTTGGCTATGCTTTGTGTAGCTTTGCCCGAAAATTAAAAAAAGGAATAAAATTATAACTGGCTGGTCTCTGCAAATGGAAATGGCTTTTAAAGAAGAATATGAAAAAAAACTATAACACTAGCCCCCCAGAGGCACAGCGGTATGTCTGCGGACTTACAATGCTAGAAACCGGGTTTCGATACCCGTGGTGGGCAGAGCACAGATAGCCCTTGTGCAGCTTTGTGCATAATTAAAAACACACAAACAAAAACTATAACACTTTGAAACAAAGTATTAAACTGCAATACGTCACGATAATGCTGTTAATTAATTTATGTAATTTTGACAGTTTAACAATATAATTACGTCCTCATCACGCTTCTTCATGGTAATAACAATCTTTAACTAACTTTAGAAACATACAAGCCATCAAACACTGAAATTAATAGTGTCCGATTTGTGTTTACTTACTGATAATAAGTATTACAAGTTACTGATTTTACAATAAGGAAGAATACTTTAAAAAACGGTACGACGTTTTAATCACTCGTGTGATCATTCTCCAGTACACAGGTTTTAAAGACAAAGAAATATTTAGTTAAAACTTGTGTACTTGAGAATGATAGCGCCAGTGATCGAAACGTCTTACCAGTTTTGAAAATATTCTTTCTCGGTGTAAAAGTTGTAACTTGTAATTAACACGTTCACGGCGTTAAGTGATTTCTCTAATTATGCAATAGGAACTGTAAGGCCTCATTGTGAACTCAGCCTTAGATACAGCTAATTTTATGGCTTTATGTTATGTTTTGTGACAGAATGACTGCATTGGGAACTTCCTCTTGAGTGAAACACCGATGGAACATGATGTCCTGTCTTTACCCATTTAAGTTTTGATAGTCATGTGATTTACACCTTTCTTACATGTTAAGTAGTGTTGACTATTTTAATTCGCACCTTTTTTTTTACGTGCAAAATAGTGTATTGACTATCGTAATTCACACCTTTCTCATATGTCCGTTTATTAGAAAACCCACAGGTACATTAAAATAGTGTTTTAGCTTAAGGCAAATTTCTAACAGTTAAGGAACTGTCATTTACGTTTTTACAGAAATCATTTGGTTACATCGTAACTTTAAAAAAAACAAAAACGTCAAACATAATGGGTGAAGAAACGGAACAAAATTATAAAAGGTTAATTGAAGTATATCTGAAAGACTTGGGTATACTAACAGATCGGCGTTTCGACACAGAAACAGGCAACAGAAAAACTGTAGCATATGTATCTATTTGGTTCATATGGGAAATTTCCGACCAGTTTGTAGCACGTGCTGCTTATGCCTGGAGAAATAAATCTATACAAAGAGAAATATTAATACGGCGATATTGTTGAACGATGTACAGCCAAAGGAGAGACATTTCGAAAGTTAAAGCGATGCTTTCATTGTAAAGGATAACAGAGAGTTTAGGATAGCAATGTGGTCTGGCACCACACTCTGGATCAATGCCTTTCGACCCAAAATCACTGCAGTGGAATTTGATATGTTTTCTAGTAGGGTTCAACAAGATAATTAACAATGATTTGAACTTTGGAGAAGTTCACAAGATTTTATCTACACCGTGAAATTATTAGAAGGATGGGTGAAGAAACTACATGTAATCACAATAATCTGATCCAATCCAACACACGCCAAATCTCCCAACTTTTTTGCCTTTGGTTTGCGTTATCTCTGAAGCTGACATTCATGTGCAGTGGGGGGTCTGTGGTGAGCAGTTTGTCAAAATGCGTGGTCCTATATTGACCGTGATTCGTCGCATAAACTTGTTGCAAAATGGATAGTGTCGGAAAATAGTGCGTGATCACTGACATCACAATGGACTATGTTCCGAGGGCAGAACGGGATCTTGAACAGCGCGCAATTAACCCTAAATACTAGTTTTCTATATTTGTATAAACAAAGGTGTTTATTGAGCTGTTTCCTAGAAACAAAATAACAAAGCCACGTGCTACTAACAACGCCCTCTACCCGTAACACTTAAAAATTATGTGCTATAGTTGAACACGTACTTTCAAATTATGTCTTTTAAAAAAAATAGAAAAAAATCTAACTAAGAAAGGAAAAACGGGGGAGTGGGTAGAGAGTCACAAAAAACGCACATACCTGAAACGAATCTTAGGAAATGTAACTGTTCTTTTTTGTTGTGTGTGTGTGTGGGGGGGGGGGGTTGCATAAGTTTATTTGCTTTAGGAAATACGGGAAAGCCTGCCAACAGGAAAAAAACAAATCAACAAAAAGAATCGCAGGGAGTTATATATTTACATAAACGTACCACGTATAAATATCCCATTCCAAGGTAAAAAAAACAAAAGAGAGTAAAAACAGCTTGAACTTATGAAATTGGAATATCTTATAATCGAAAATTCAACATTCCTAGAGCCAATTACCAGGACTAGAAAGAATCAATATTTTTTTTTTCTACTTCTTCTGTACATTTTTCTAGACTTGCAGTTTCTACATTTGACTCTTCTACCCTGTGTCGAACTTTCGAATCGTTCATAACATATAAATTCTACTGGATTTTATCTGTACGCGACTTATTACAATCTTTATCTATAATATTAGAAATGCGTCCTTCAAAGAAGTGGTAATAAACAAAGAGATAATTTCATTATACCCCCCCCCCACGTATAAAACCGCGAAATTCGTAATCTCATTAGAAAATTATATTTTCCCCTATGTAAAAATATGTAATCTTATTAGGAAAAAGAGCTGTTTATTACGCAGACTCCAGTCGCTGATGTCGGGGAGGCGCGAGAGTGTATTATAAAAACCAGCTTTTCAACACAAGTTGTTGTGTCTGCAGTTTGGTTAGCCACTGATGTAAACTTGGAGAAGTAGTTATTGGCCACTGAAAACTGGTAAGTTGACCGCTCTGTTTTAAAAGGTAAGTCATTTATTTTAAACAATCGCAATACCTTCACGAAGTCAGCTCCCATCTAGTTTTGGCTAGTTACTTTTATGAATTAATATAGCTTCTTAAGAACTTACATTCTGAAAACCCCGAATCCTTTAATTTTTTTTTTTTTGTCAGGGGCAAAAACTAAGCCTTAATGTGTCGCCAATTATTATACACAATCCCCCCCCGTGGCACAGCGGTACGTCTGCGGACTTAGAACGCTAGAATCCGGGTTTCGATACCCGTGGTGGACCGAGCACAAATAGCCCATTGTGTAGCTCTGTGCTTAACTTCAAACAAATATTAACATTTTAAATTTCTTCTATTCATCAACAAGGGTGAAAATATCTAAGTTGTTATTTGTGGTCACTATCTGTTTTATTTTAAACGTCATCGTCGATGAATCAGCAGTAAGATTGAGAGCTTATAACTTAAAATTTAGGGCTCCATCCCTACAGATGATACCTTGCATTATGCAGTTTTGCACTACAGCAAATAATCGTTAACTTTGCTCAAGTGTTTATTGTTTGGTATCTTCTTATATACTGAAATATCTAAACCGATATGTTTCTTGAAATGAAAAGACGAATAAACATACGTTCTTTATCGATGACGTCACTTTTGTTTGAAAATCAAATAACCGTGTGTCGGTAAAAGATTATAACTGTATGCTTATACAGGCCTTACGTACAGGTGTTCCATTAAAAAGTTCCCATTCTTAAAAATATATGCTTTTGTAAGAAAGATGACGCATAGATTAGCAACGTAATTTCTAGTTTAAACTGTCAAATAACAAATTAGGAGTCATGTTAAAAGTAAAACGTTTCTTTATCATGTATGAGGAGCTGAATTGTTAGACTGTAAAAATACTTGAAACTTTCAAGTAGGAAAATTCACAGACTCGCCAGTTATTCCCACACCAAAAAAGTTGTCACACAAAAAAAGTTAATTTCAGATGTAAAATGAGGGTTAAATTATTTTTAAAAAAACATTTATTTAATTTTTATGAAAAACAGTTTGATGTCAACCATCGAATCTCAACTACTGGCGAAAAGTTAAATTACGACCACTCAAGATTCTCCTAATTCCTGTTATAATAATAATTTAAAAAATACTTTTAGTCCTTGAGATATTTTAGTTAAATTATAGCGCCGTGAGAGGTAAATTTATCTCTATAATAAATAGTTGGTGAAGTAAGTTATTTTATTGGCAAATTTATTTTTTCTCTCTGTTTTTGTTTGTTTATTGTTAAGCGCAAAGCTACACAATGGACAATCTGTGATGTGCACACCATGGGTATAGACACCCGGGTTTTAGTGTTATATGCCTTCAAAACTTACCGCTGAGCCACTGGGTGCTTTCTTTTGAAAAAATTGTAAAGGGGAAATTGTAAAAGGAAAATTAGATTGTATCTATAATGAACACTCCATGAAAGATTTGGTTGTATTTTAACTTACGGTTCATGACGGTTAATTCTGACTTCATAAGTATTTCGAGGATTCAATAACACATATCCTGTACAGAAAAGAGGAAAACGTGGTTTTATTTCTAATGAATGTTCGTTGTTTTGCTTACCGCAATATCCACAGACTACCTAGTGCAAATAAGTTACGCTGAAGTGTAATCTGTACTTTAATAACAAAACTACAAAATGTGCCAATCTTTAACATTTTAAACCTGCAGACTCTCCGCTGAGCCACTGGGGAACAAACTATTAACATTTTAAACCTGCAGACTCACCGCTGAGCCACTGGGGAACAAACTATTAACATTTTAAACCTGCAGACTCACCGCTGAGCCACTGGGGAACAAACTATTAACATTTTAAACCTGCAGACTCTCCGCTGAGCCACTGGGGAACAAACTATTAACATTTTAAACCTGAAGACTCACCGCTGAGCCACTGGGGAACAAACTATTAACATTTTAAACCTGCAGACTCACCGCTGAGCCATGGGGAACAAACTAAAATGCAATTTGTAATGAAAATGAAATGTAACATTCATTTTACCTGAAATACAACGAGTATTGTTTGTTTGTTTGTTATGGATTTCGCGCAAAGCTACACGAGGGCTATCTGCACTAGCCATCCCTAATTTAGCAGTGTAAGACTAGAGGGAAGGCAGCTAGTCATCATCACCCACCGCCAACTCTTGAGCTACTCTGTTACCAACGAAGAGTGGAATTGACAGTAACTTTATAACGCACCCACGGCTGAAAGGGCGACCATGTTTGGTGAGACGGGGATTCGAACCTGCGACCCACAGATTGCGAGTCGAGCGCCCTAACCACCTGGCCATGCCGGGCCAAACAACGAGTATTTTAACCGAACTTCTATAGCTAGAAATATAAGGTGTAATTCCTCAGTCTTCTGCATTAAATTTTATGTACAGACATTTAGGCTTGAATACGACCATAGAAAACGTATTTAATTCAGAAAAATATATATATACTCGTTTTTAAGATACTGGCTCGTGCTTAATTACATTTTAAGTTAATGATGTTTAGGGACTGCTGTTGATTGTATCGTGATTTTAACAACAAAATTTAATGATGTTGGAAATAAAACAAATATTGATTTAATTGTTGATTGTCAGGCTTTCTTTGTCTTACAAACAGAATTTTTAGTTTCAGGTGACTAAGTTTCCTTCCAAAAAATGGTCCCTGAAAATTTGACATTTCGAGACAATCAGCTGGATTTCTTCTTCCAGGCGGAGCCACTGCAACAAGAAATTCACATGAATGGTTGGAACGCCCCAAAAGACATGTTCATCAATCCCTATTGGAAGCAGTTTGAGGCGCCAAACCCTTTTATGCATTACCTGCTGGGGATCTTGTATACTGGTTTAATGATAGTGGCATGCATTGGCAATGGCATTGTCATTTACGTTTTCAGCATGTGAGTAGTAATAATATTTAACGTATTAACAACATCGGTTATTGAATTCATTAACTATATTTACATCTTCAACGCAGGCATAATAACACGAGCTACATCTGTAGCGAGTTCATAACATCAGTCATAGGAATTATTAAACATTTACATTTTCAACGCGAAAATAATAGCACCAGTTACATCTGCATTAAATTAACAATTTCGGCCATTCTTAAACGTAATTTTTGTTTTATGTGAACACTTACCTCGTGATGACTCGCAATGCGCATAAACAACCACAGCATCTGAGTAAACTCTTATTTTTCAGGTCTAAAACGCTGCGGACACCAGCTAATTTGTTCGTTGTAGCCCTAGCTGTAACAGATTTTCTGATGATGTTGAAAACTCCAGTCTTCATCTACAACTCCTTCCACGCTGGTCCTGTTTATGGAAACATTGGTGAGTTGTTTTACAGGTCTTCCTGCCAGCAACTGTTTCAATATAAAAATAGACTTAACACACTTATCAGTATTGTACTGTATCCGTAATTCGTCTTTTTCACTATATACAGATATTTATTTCAAGATTGTTAGTCTAATGTAGGGTAACCTCTTAGAGTATTAATTAAGAAAACGTTTGTTTTGGTAGTTATTACGCACAACGCTACACAATGGGCTATCTATATTAAGCCCACCATGGGTATCGAAACACAATTTTAGCCAATTGGGAGGGAGTTAAGAAAATGTAGTCAATATGTAAGCGTTTCCTCCAACAAGCTGATGGTTACAGTCAGAGGCGACGCTAGGCGCTGGCACGTGGGGCCTGTGCCCCGGTTCCGCTTGGTGCTCTTGAAAAATCGAAATATAAAACCATGATCGATATCATGCTGCAACTCCGAAAATTCCCGCGAGTTCTGGGCCCGAGCCCCGAATCTTTTAAGTACCTAGCAACGTCTCTGGTTACAACTCCAGAAATATTTGCTTCACTAAAATATCCCTTACTTGAGCGGTGTTTAATTTATCCCACCTTAGTTTACATAAACTATAAACATTAATAAGTATTTCAAGCGGCTCATTTGACAGTAGGTTACTATCTACTGCTCTAATTTGGTATATTCATGTATTGAATAATAATTATATTGACTTGGTTATTTGCATTTATGCTCATTGAACGCACGACAATTGTGTAGATATATTGTTGTAACATCTGTTTTATTTCGGAGGATCCTTTTAAATGATCCGGTGAAAATAATTCCATGTTCGGTCCACGTAATGATAATAAATTACCTTATTTCCTCTCTTAACGTTTCTACAAGTTTGAACACTTGCACCTTGCCGTAAATTGTTGTAGGCCTATCATGGCTATGCTATAAATGACATTCAAACCTCTCTAACAATCTAGGACTAACGTAAAATCAAATTAACTTGCTTGCACAAAGTAACCGCGATATCTAACGCACTGATTGATTCATTCTATTATCTTCTTCATGCTTCACTGCAAGCTTACTGCACTATTTCTTGACTATCCCTCAACTTTCCTGTGCTTATAATCTAACTTCGAATGTAGGAGAAAAACTTGACGTCAACTTACAACTTTCTAGACGTTCTATGCCTGTCTTAACATCATGCGCCCTCTAGGCTAAAATACAGATTATAATATTAAGAAATATAGCCTACAACAATATATATATAGTTCTAGGTTGGGCAGAAACTTTACAAATTCTGTTTAGGGTTAAAGCGGATGGATGTCTTAAAATAGTCTGAACTTCATATCACTTTGAAACATATCATTATAGTCTTAAGTACTACGACTTTAAAACATATTCTCATAGTCTAAACGTAATATGACTTTGAAATATATTGTTATAGGCTATGCCTCCCTAGGGAGTTTTTGCATGATGTAGTAATGATGGTTAGGCCAAGAAATTCCCGATAGCTTAGAGTTGACGTGGCGTCTTGAATTTTTTTAGAAACCTGGGGAAGGAGATGGAATTGTATGGAAATGTGAATGAGTTAATCAGACAGTGAGCCTGGTACAGTATTGTCGATCGATTACTGAGTTAGCGAGAACTATACACCCTTGTTGAATTTGTGCCGTAGATACCAGAGGAAGTTAACAAGTGACTGTTACGTTTTATTTGTGAGATTAGCTTATCACGTTGTTAAAATTAGTTCGTGAGACTGTGTAAGATGTAAAATTTCAATTGAAGAAATCAAACAATCTACTTTTCGTTGAGTGGACTGAACTTTCCACTATTGTATCCCAATAATAATAAGAAAAAAAAAGATCCCAACTCAAAATAGAAACTGTTATAACAATATTGTTATAGTCTCAATGTAATATATTACTGGGCCCCCCAGTGGCACAGCGGCATGTCTGCGGACTTACAACGCTAGAAACCGGGTTTCGATATAACCGT